GATAGCTCTTTTTTGTCCCCAAACGTACAATAAAAATGCATGTATATATTCTAAAGAAAATTCAATTTTTGGCTTTGCCTTGCTGTTTTTCAACAGATACGAATCTGAATTGAATTCCCATTTGTATGCCTGTCTTGTCCTTCCTTTCCTCACAATCAAGAACCTCTCTCTCTCTCTCTCTCTCTCTCGGCATGGCCGTTAACTGTTCAGTAATGGGGGTATTGGGTTTCTGTTTCATTCTTTTCTGGATGCTTGAGATTGTTTCTGCACAATTAGCCACAGACCCTAGTGAAGGTCCCTCTCTCTCTCATGCATGAATACCAGTTATGAATTGAGGTTAATGTTTCGACTAAATCTTCTTTGCTGTTCTGTTGGTCAGTGGAGGCTCTCAACAAGATGATAGATCACTGGAATTTGAGAACAAAATTGAATTTTACCATTGACCCTTGTACTCCGAATGCAACTTGGGCTCCAGACAATGCGAATCCCCGAATTGCCTGCGACTGTTCTGGCTCTGTTTGCCATATCTCCCACTTGTTAGTTCATAATCCATTACTCTAATTGCTCTCCTATAAGAATGTCTCCATACTGAGAATGTTTCCAATTCTCATGTGATTCAGGAAGATATATGCTTTAGACATTTCTGGAGAACTTCCCCCAGAACTATTTCAGCTAAAAAAACTGATGGACTTGTAAGTGATTGAAGCTTAGGCATTTAAGCCGCACAGATAGCCCAGTGGTGTGGGATTGGACTTGGGGCCATTCGTAAACTCTGTCTATTAAAGTCATAGGCTTCTAATACTGATTTGGTTGATTTTCTGATCATGTGTCATGATACAGGAATCTGGCTCAGAATATACTAAGTGGGAGCATCCCACTTGAAATAGGACAGTTATCAAATATGGAGTACTTGTAAGTTGTAATTCATTACCACCCGCACTTGCTAAAACTAAGTATTATTATTATTTTGAATTTGTTGGATGAACTCAATTTTATTTGATGTATTGAAAAACAGGAGTCTTGGCATTAATAATCTCACTGGTCTTGTGCCTCCAGAGCTTGGCAATCTCACAAAATTGCAGTCCTTGTAAGTGCATATCAAAGACTTTCATATATGTTTCCTTCCCCCCCCCAAAAAAAAAAAAAATTAATTGTACTGCAATTATTCCATTAAGTTCTTTCTTGTTACAGAAGTTTTAGCTCAAACAATTTCCATGGACCATTACCCATCGAACTTGGAAATTTAAAGTCCTTACAACAGCTGTAAGTATTCCACTAATACAATTAGTTTTTTTTTCTTTCTAGAGAATTCTTCTTTGGCCTTTTGGTTGAGGAAGAAAGAATGATGATTTTGGTTCTGATAATGGTTAAAAGGCTTGACCTTGTGCATGTTTGTTAGTGCAACATGTTTTGAAGGAACATGGTTTTGGAAATTCTCTGCTTCACCATTATTAACTTGAGTATTCCTCTTTTTGTTGGCCATGAACTCTGGATCAATTGGTCTGTTAATCATTCAGGTACATAGATAGCAGCGGAGTCAGTGGGCCGATTCCACAAGAACTGTCAAACTTGATATCACTCCAGATTCTGTACTTTCTTATCACTTTCCTTGATATGAATATATGTTGCTCTCTAGGTACCAAGAGGCCGGTACTAAACAAAATTACTTAAATGAAAAGTGTTTTTTTCCTGCTTCAGGTGGGCTTCTGATAATCTTTTTACAGGAAAGCTTCCTGAATTCTTTGGAACTCTTACAGAACTCAAGGACTTGTATGCAAGAAATTTTATGTGCACTTTTGAATCTTTGAATGAATAATTATGATACTTTTAAGTCCTATAACTCACACTGGTCATGGAATTTCTTTCACTAACAGGAGACTTCAAGGAACAATGCTTGAAGGCCCAATTCCACGCAGTTACAGTGCTCTAACGAAAATGGAGGACCTGTAAGGACCTCTACTTGTTTGTTTTCATTACTCATTTTATGAACAATACTGCAATGGCCAACAAGAGAGCTGCCATATGATCCAATGTTAATGCAATGTTCATTTCTGAAACTTCTATGCTATAATTTTTCATGTCCTTGTGGTTTATTTTATTTTATTTTTTTTTTGTTCGAACCACCTTTATTCTTTAGATCTCTACAAGCTGATTCAAGTTATTGGTCTGTCTCGATTCAGACTTTGATGTGCCCTTCAAGTCAAGATTTTTTCGGATTATTTAAGCCTGTTGATGTATAATATGAAATTTGCTCTCTCTGATGTGTACTGTTATTCGTAATTATGTGATTTTAGTGTCGAATTCTTTGTATAGGAGAATTGGTGATCTTAATACGGAAGATTCTACTCCTGACTTCTTGGAGAACTTGACAAGTTTGTCCATATTGTAAGATTTTGATCGATTTAACTTTCAGAAGAGCCCTTTCATTTTTAAGTTTTTGTTCATTTGCAGTTTCATTTATTGTTGAGTAGTTACATCCCATATTTGTGTGCTCTATAGATCATTGAGAAACTGTCGAGTGGCTGGCCAACTTCCAGAATACCTAAGCACCTTTTCTAATTTGAAAATACTGTAAGTCACCTAGGCATTGAAGACGGTCTGTTACTTTGATATTGATTTCCTTCTTGTTTTCTGGAAAAATGATGTCATTGGAAGTGGCTTACACTTCATACTTTATTATTCATTTATTATTTATATCAAGCTTCTGATTTCTTGTGTTGTTGAAATTTAACCATTACGAAAGGGACTTGAGCTTCAACAAGTTAACAGGCCAAATTCCAAACTCATTTGAAGAGTTTTCTTCATTGCAATACTTGTAAGTTACTCAATTTAGCTCATTTCTGCATCTTTCTACTGTCACTAAATGAGTAAATGGAATCATTTCCCAAATACTAATCAGCAGTTACATACATTTTAACTACTGGCTTGATAAAAAGATAACTGATTTACCTTTGAATGTTACCAGTTAGTAATAGGGTTAACTAACCATTTGGTGTTCATTATCTTCTATTTCTTTTTGTTTGTGTTGTTTACGTGACACTTGTTAACTTTGATCAATCATAGAAAAATAAGAGAAAGAAGAAGATAATATTATAGAGGCACAATAAATCAGAACAACCTTAAAAGAACAATACATACAAAAAGTGTTTATATAGTAGGGCAACATAAAAGAAAACAAATGACTAAGCTACCCCTAAACCTAAATATGCTAACTATTCTAACACTCTCCCTCAAACTTATGATATAGTAGCAAAAAACATCAAGAGTTTGCCAAGAGAAAAACGAAATCGAGTGATAGTATGCGACTTTGTCAAGAAATCTGCTAGCTGCATAGTAGAAGAAAGAAAGGGGAGAGAGATAGTGCCCAATTGAAGATGATAACGCACAAAGTGACAATCAATCTCAATATGCTTTGTGCGCTCATGAAACACTGAGTTATGAGCAATCTGAATAGCACTAGTGTTGTCATAATACATAGGAGTAGACGCAGATAACATGATGCCAAGATCAGTAATGAGCCATCGTAACCAAACTATCTCAGCTGCAGTAGACGTCATAGCACGATATTCAGCTTCAGTAGATGAACGAGAAACAACAGTTTGCTTCTTGTTTTTTCAAGAAATTAGAGATTCACCGAGGTAAAGGCAAAAGCCTGTAGTGGACTTACAGTCCATAGAGTCACCAACCCAGTCAGCATCAGAATAAGCCCTGAGTTCCATAGAGGAGGAAGAGGAAAATAACAAACTCTGATGCAGAGTACCTCGAAGATACCAAAGAATACGAAGAACCGCAGCTCAGTGAACAGTGGTGGGTGAGGCTTCAAATTGATTAACAATATGAACAGCATAGGAGATATCCGAACGGGTGACTGTAAGATATACTAAACTCCCAACAATAGCGCGATAGAGCGTAAGGTCATATAGGGGAGTACCATTAGAAGAAAAGTAACGAACATTGAGCTCTAAAGGTGTTTCAACTGTCTGATTATCTAATAAACGGGCTCGTTGAATAACATCTGAAACATACTTGGACTGAGAGAAGATAACCTTTAAGTGAAGAAGCAATCTCGATACCCAAGAAATATCTAAGTTGCCCCAAATCTTTCATCTCAAAATGATCTTGCAACTGAGTTTTCAATAAGCATATACCAGTAGCGTCATCACCCGTAATAATCATATCATTAACATATAGTAAAAGAATAATAGAACCTGAGGAAGTAGACCGTAAAAGGAGAGCAAAATCATGGTCACTGGCACGAAAATTCAAGTCACAAATAACCGAAGAAAATTTGACAAACCATGCCCTCGGAGCCTGTTTAAGTCCATATAAAGCTCAATAAAGTCGACATACTTGACCAAGACTATGAGACAATCTAGAAGGAGGAGTCATAAAAATCTCTTCACTTAAATCTCCATGAAGAAAGACATTTTTCACATTCATCTGAAGCAAATTCCATTGGCGAATGGCAGCAATTACAATCACTATGCGAACGGTGGTCGTCTACGCAACAGGGGCAAAAGTTTCATCATAGTCTATACTATACTCCTGAGCAAAACCNATACTATAAGGGCACTAGGCTGATGGAAAGAGAGTAACTTTTGTAAATGATAAGCAAGCATAGTTAGGCTGGGGGCTTGTGAGGAGGACTCATCCACCAGTGTTGCAATTGCTGTTGAATGACAAACTTTAGGCTGAAATGACTGACTTGTTGTCCCTCTAGCATTTTTGTTCACCAGTTTAGGGCATTGAGTCTTCCAGTGACCCTTCTCATGATAGAAGCTACACTCATCTGAAGCTACACGGCCCCGATATTTATTTTGTGAATGAGAAGTCACCTTGGGAGNATGATGCGTTTACCAGGTGGTAAAGACACTAGCTCCCAAGCTTTAGTCTTATGTAAGACAGATAACTCCTCATCCATAGCCTATTTTCATAGTGGATCAAGTAAAGCCTCCTTGTAGGAGGTGGGTTCAGATAGAGAGTGAATAGAAGTAAGAAAATAACAAAAGTCAGAAGAATAACAAAGATTACTCCAACCAAACCTGTCTGGACATTTGCGAGAGCACTGAGGATAGGTGGGGTATGATCCACAGTGTCTGAACCTAATTGGGTGGTAGGAGGAAAATGGGGAGGCACTGCATCGATAGAGGAGATAGCTGAAGTCCTGTGAACATATGTATGCACAATAAGAGGACGAGGAACAGTCAATTCAGAAGGGGAAGGATCTGGCACACTTAAATCACCAATATATGTGTCATGAGGAATATCAACAGGAAATGAATCAATGTATAGCAGATCCAACTTATTCAATGGAGAGGAACTAGATGGAATTGAAAAGAAGGGAATATGCTCTATAAAGTCCTGTGAACACNTCTTTGCAAAATTGGACTGAATAAATAAGGTAGCTAAATAATCTCAAATCTCTTTGGTTGTATTAAGCTTAGTCAAATGAACATCAATTGCCTGATCAACTGAGTTGTTAATCCAAGTAATGATTTTAGTGTTGTTAATTTCTCAAGTATTCTTTAAGTCAACATATTTCTCGACCTTAGGATCAGTTGGATCTAACAAATCACCACTAACATAACTCCACATTTTCTTACCCCAACAAGAAATATTTCATAACATAAANAACATATTTCTCGACCTTAGGATCAGTTGGATCTAACAAATCACCACTAACATAACTTCACATTTTCTTACCCCAACAAGAAATTTTTCATAACATAAGNCTCACCATAACCAAGAAAGACACATAAAGCTGAACGAGCAGAAAGTTTGGTACGAAGAATACTAAGGAGCAAAATAAAGCAAGTACAGCCAAACACTCGTAAAGAGAAATAGTTAGACGGCTTACCATACAATTTTTCAANCACCTTTTAATCTAACACTGATAGCTCGAAGAGAATCAGAATTTTCACTTGCCATAATACCCAAATCAAGCAATCCAAAGCGAAACAAACAGTCCAAACCTAGCAAAATTTAGCNCTGATAGCTCGAAGAGAATCAGAATTTTCACTTGCCATAATACCCAAATCAAGCAATTCAAAGCGAAACAAACAGCCCAAACCTAGCAAAATTCAGCAGCCCAACAACTCAACACACAACAAGAACCCAACAAAATTCAGCCCAAACCTAGCAAAATTCAGTNTGAACGAGCAGAAAGTTTGGTACGAAGAATACTAAGGAGCAAAATAAAGCAAGTACATCCAAACACTCGTAAAGAGAAATAGTTAGGCGGCTTACCATACAATTTTTCAAATAAGGAGACTCCAGAATTAATAATAGTAGGAATGCAATTGATCAAATGAACTTCTATAAGAACTACTTCCCCCCTAAAATGAGCTAGGAACATGGGCAGATAAGAGAAGGGAGCGTTCTGTCTCTAGAATATGATGATGTTTACGTTCAGCAACGCCATTCTGCTAAGGTGTGTCAATGCAAGATGATTGATAAAGTGTACTATCAGATTTCAATAAATCAAGAAAAGAAGTAAGATTGTATTCACCTCCCTGATCACATCGAAAATATTTAATGACAGTAGAAGATTGAGTGCGGACCATGTTACGAAAATCAATGAAAATTAAAAAGAATTTAGACCGAAGTTTCATCAAGTATACCCAACAATATCTCGTATAATAATTAATAAAAGAAACATAATATTTGGACCCTCCTTGTGTAGGAACAGNCCAAAGTCCAACCAAATGTGTTCAAATCACACAACCAACTAACTAATCCCCCTAATCACACCTTTTAGAGTCGATTTTAACCAAAAAAATTCAAAGAAATCAGCCCCAAATTGTAAATCANCCAAAGTCCAACCAAATGTGTTCAAATCACACAACCAACTAACTAATCCCCCTAATCGCACCTTTTAGAGTCGATTTTAACCAAAAAAATTCAAAGAAATCAGCCCCAAATTGTAAATCGNGAAGTAAGATTGTATTCACCTCCCTGATCACATCGAAAATATTTAATGACAGTAGAATATTGAGTGCGGACCATGTTACGAAAATCAATGAAAATTAAAAAGAATTTAGACCGAAGTTTCATCAAGTATACCCAATAATATCTCGTATAATAATTAATAAAAGAAACATAATATTTGGACCCTCCTTGTGTTGGAACATNTGGCCACAAAATCAAAAAACAAGCATACCACAATATTACCCATGCAAAACTGAGTCTAGTAGTGTTCTTCGTCTGGTCCAAAATGATGATGTCAGCGTGACATCATCTTTGAAGCTCGTTGACGTCAACCCTAATAACTATTCATCCCTCCGGTTTATTGCTATAATATTGAAAATATTTAGGACCTAAACAAACTCTGATACCATGTTAACTTTGATCAATCATAGNATAAGATCAAATGGTGCAAGGGAACAAGTA